AACCCAGCACTTTGGGGGGCCGAAGCGAGTGGATTGCCTGAACCCGTGGGTTCAAGACCAGCGTGGGCACCTTGGCAAGACTTCATCTCTACAATAAATCAAAAAAATTTAGCCGGGTATGGTAGCGTGAACCTGTAGTTTTGGCTATTTGGAAGGCTGAGGCAGAAGGATTGCCGGAGCCCAGCATGTCGACACTGGGGTGGCTGTGAGTGTGCCACTGCGCTCCAGCCTGGGTGACAGAGTGAGACTCCAACTAAAAAAAAAATCCTTAAGTGGTAACCAGTGACAGCTGATATGAATAAACAGGTAAATATTAGTGGAAGTGAAATAGCCAGTTTAGGCCGGGTGCAGTGGCTCAAGCCTGTAATCCCAGCACTTTTGGAGGCGGAGGTGAAAGAATTGCCTGAGCCCACAGGTTCGAGACCAGTCTGGGCAACTTGGCAAGACCTCATCTCTACAATAAATCAAAAAATTAGCCGGGCATGGTAGTGCACGCCTATAGTTACAGCTATTTGAAAAGCTGAGGCAGAAGGGGTGGCCTTGAGCGTGCCACCGCACTCCAGCCTGGGCGACGGAGTGAGACACCAACTCATAAAAAAAAAGAAAGAAAGAAATAGCCAACTTAATCTTTATTTAATATATGATCATCTTTACCAATTTTCCACCTACATTTAGGTGCCAAATTTGAAATTTGGTATTGACCTGTGGTTTTCCATGTTTTCAGCTGTTCTGCACAAAAGGCCAAGAGAATCGCCCTCTCTCTGTTCCCTGTAGCATCTTGGTTACCGGCATACCAGCTGAAGGAATGGCTGCTCAGTGACATTGTTTCTGGTATCAGCACAGGACTAGTGGCTGTGCTACAAGGTAATTTTAAACATATAAAGTTATATATAATATATATATATAAATCATATGCCACACAATTCTCCCTTGTAATGTGTACAATTCAGTGGTTTTTAGTATATTCACTAGGTTATGCATCTACCACCACTATCCAATTCCAGAAAATGTTCACCACCACCACCACTCCCTTAAAATCCCTTATCCACTAGCCACTTCACACCCCCCTCACCCACCCGCCCCTCTAGCAATGACTTTCTGTCTTTATGGATTTGCCTATGTTCTTTATATAAATGGAATCATACAACATGGGCACATTGTATCTTTTCTTTCACTTAGCATAATGTTTTCAAGGTTGATCCATACAGTAGCATGAATTGGTACTTTATTCCATTTTATGGACAAATAATATTCTATTGTACAGATATATCATGTTTTTAATCCATTAATCAGTTAATGGACATTTGGGTTGTTTCTACCTGGTGGCTACCATGAATAATGCTACTTTGAACATTTGTGTACAAATTTTTTTGTGAACATATATTTCCATTTTCTTGGGTGTTGCCCTAGGAATATGATTGGGTTATATGGTAACTCTGTGTGTAACTAACCATTTAATTCTAATCATTTCTGAAACTGCTAAATGATTTTCTAAAGTAGCTGTATCATTTTACATTTCCACTAGTAATATATGCATATGTGAGTTTGAATTTCTCCACATCCTCAATACTTGTTATTATCCACCTTTTTAATTTCAACCATCTTAATGAGTGTGAAGTGGTATCTCACTGTGGTTTTGATTTGTATTTCTCTAATGACTAATAATGTTGAGCTTTTCTTTTTCATGTGCTCATTGGCCATTTGTTTATTTTTGGAGAAATATCTATTCAAATCCTTTACCCATTTTTAACTGGACTATTTGTCATTATGTAGCTGCAAAGGTTATTTATGGATTCTGTATACTAGATCTTTATCTGTTATACAATTTGCAAATCATTTCTTCTATTCTGTGGGTTATTGGTTCACTTTCTTTCTTCCTTTCTTTCTTTGTTTGTGTGTGTGTGTGTGTGTGTGTGTGTGTGTCTGTGTGTGTGTGTGTGTGTGTGAAAACAGGATTTATTGAGAGGGAAGAAAAGCTCCCATTGTGGGAGGGGACTTGCCCGAGGGGCTTGCCCCACTTTCTTGATAGTATCCTTTGAAGTGCACATTTTAAAAATTGTGATGAAGTCCAATGTATCTGTTTTTTTCTTGGGTTGCTTATACTGCAGATGTCATTTCTAAAGACACCATTGCCTAATTTAAGGTCACAAAGATTTATGCCTATGTTTTCTTCTAAGAGCTTATGTACATCTTTGATGCATTTTGAGTTAATAAGGTAACATTTTTTAAGGTCCAATCTTAAATACCAGAAGAACCTCATGAGAATGTCTATAATTCCTCTTTCATGAATTAAGGACCCACTGCTTATGTGTTCACAGGTTTAGCCTTTGCTCTGCTGGTCACCGTTCCCCCTATGTATGGGTTGTATGCAGCTTTTTTCCCAGTCATAATCTACTTTTTCTTGGGCACTTCTAAACACATATCTGTGGGTAAGTCCGCTACTGAGCTGATTAATGCTCACATTTTTTTCTTTATGAATCTTATTAGCCATACATTGTATCAATTCCAAACTGTACAGAACCCAGAAGAAGTGTCAGAGTCTCCTGTAAGAATGAGGACTGGGGTTTGGGAAAGAAGACTGGGCCGCAGACAGCAGTCTTTATATGCTACACTGCGGTTGGAAGACAATATGCTTTAGGAAGTCACGTATTGACCACAATTCACCTGCTCTTCATTAGGTCCATTTCCAGTTCTGAGTATGATGGTGGGAGCAGTAGTTTCGAAAGTAGTCTCTGAGGTCAGTACAACTACTGTGGAATTGACTAACAGCTCAATGAGTAATGATACATCATCACTGGACGAAAAGAAGGTGATGGTGGCTGCCACAGTCACAGTGCTTTCTGGAATCATCCAGGTGAGCACTTTCTCATGTAACCTGACCACACCAATCTGCTTGTCCTGACTGGTACACATCTTTCTGTTTTTTCTTCCTCCTGCCATCCCTCCCAATCTTTCCTTTGGTTTGTGTCCTTCCCTCAGTGGCCCATAGGAAATAATTTAAGTGGGGTCACTCACCACCACCAGAAGGAGAGAGGTAGATCCATGTTGCAAAAGTGAGTGAATGTGGGATTAGCTAGAAGGAAAAATGGGAACAGGAAGGCACAAGTGGTGTCAAGTGAAATGTTTAATTCAATAAAATGCCTGGAATTGATAGGGTCAAGTAACATAACTCTATGCAAGCTATAGTGACACTGGTGGCTTTGGAATTTTGTTCTAATTCCTTGGCAACTATAACCTAGTTGGAAGAAATGGGGACTTTTCACTATGAACTGTTCCCATAAACAATTTTGTGAAAGCTGAAGAGGATTATGGGAAAACCTAATGCTTCACTACCAAGCTACACTCTGACATCATCACTGAATAGTGAAAGTGTCATGGGCTTTTCGAGATATTGCCTAAGACTAGGGTTAATGATATTATTGGTTAAGACCATTTCTCTTTTTTTCTTTTTGAGTTGGAATCTTACTGTCACCCAGACAAGTACAGTGACACGCTCCCAGTCACCACAGCCTCGACCAGCTGGGCGCCGACGATCCTTCCACCTCGACCTTCCAAGTAGCTGGAACTACAAACATGCACTACCACACCCGGCTAACTTTTTATTTATTGTAGAGACGAGCGCCAAGTTTCCCAGCCGGGTTCAAACCCGCGGGCTCAGGCAATCCACTCGCCTCAGCCTCCCAAAGTGCTGGGATTACAGGCTGAGCCACTGAGCCCAGCCAAGAGCATTTCTTAAAGAAAGAAAAAGTCAATTTCTGCAAAGACATCACTGTCTTATTGACAATCTGTTTAGCTGTTTCTAGTACATTTCTGAACCAACTACAGACATGTAACCCAAATGGACTGTGTGTAGACAGAGCTCTGGCTGCATTCTGGAGATGAGTGGAAAGTACTGAAGGGCAGGAGAATCCATCTAATTCACTTTATTGCAAAAATAATGATGCTTTGGGGAGGAATTAACCACCCTTATCCCCCAACTAAAACTAAGAGCTTCTGATGTCCAATACACAGTTATGAGATTCTTAAGCAATTTGAGCAACTTGCTTGAGGAAATATGAATAGACACTTAATGCATGCTGCAGCCACTAAAAAAGTATAACTTCAAATTATGTTGGCAAATGTGAGGACAGATGCTATAAAGGGATTAGGAGTGAGTCTTCCAAAGACACCACACCTAAAAATAAGAGCTGGGGGAAGTGCCTAATAGTACTTGACATACTAGACTTACATCTTATTTGAACACCATGTAATATACCACCTGGGTACAGCAGAGCAAAGGGTAGTGACATAGAAGGGAAGCAGAGGGAGGAGTCCTGCGTGGGAAGTGTTTCAGGAGGCAGAGACATCTGCTTCTTTAAGGTCGATGCCTATATTCATACAAATAGCGAAGGCTAGTATTATAGACCTGGTGACATCCTTGATTATCCTAAATACAGGTTGAAATTCACAGTTTGAATTATTTCCATTGCTGATCCTTTAGTTCGCTGAGGTGTGCTCCTAATCTACTTTAACAAAGGCTTTTGCACTCTCTTTTCAGTTGGCCCTGGGTATTCTGCAAATCGGATTTGTAGTGATATACCTCTCGGAGTCCCTAATCAGTGGCTTTACCACTGCTGCTGCTGTTCATGTTTTGGTTTCCCAACTCAAATTCATGCTTCAGTTGCAAGTCCCACCACACACAGATCCGTTTTCAATTTTCAAAGTAAGTATTTTTTTCCTTTAAACATTTCGAAATATGTGTAGATTTTTCTCTCTCTCCCCCTTTCCCTCCCATTCTTTAATTCTGTTTTTCAGAGAAGGTGGGGTTGTTTTTGCTTCGCTTGTGCAATCTCCTGTTTTTCCTTATGAGGGTCCTCTGGCTTTGTTCACTTTTGAGGCTGGAGTGTGGGCTGTGGGCTGTACTTTGTGCAGTTTTGAGGTTTAATTGAGGGGGAAGCTGTGATTCCAAATCTCTCTGCTGATTCCAGCATCCACCAACAGGTGTATGAGCACACTGGAACCTATTTCCCACTGCCTTACAATCTGTCTGTACAGCAGGATGTAGGTTTGGTCCCTTAGGAATATTTCTTGGAGAATTTTCCTTTAATGTCTTTGCCATCGGGCTTACCTAGAGGTTGTCAAGTCTATTTGTATTAAGAAAAAGTAGCAAAGAAAACAACACTGAACATCAACCATATCTACCTACAGCTAATGTTAACAACAATAATTAACGCTTTTCTTAGGTTTGACTTAAGTATTTTCAAAAAGAAAGTCTAAGTAAGTTATTAAAATCTCTACTGTTTTGTCTCAAGTGTTAAAATTTTTCTCAGAATCTTATGTTGAAAGAAATGTGCTAATTGTTTTCCTATTTCTCAAAAAGCAGGTCTTGTTCTTTTAGAATTGAGTTTCTTGGGTCTTTTATGCATCCCAGTTTAGAAAGCAAAAGGAAATTGACCAACATGTAGATAGAGCAGTGGTTCTGCTCTCCTCCAGAGGATGCGAAGTAGAACAGATAGTGTCTGTAGTATTTCTATCACAACAATCTTTGGGAGTCTGAAATAGAACTTGCTCCAAACTAGAATCAGCACTCTGTCACTCCCATCCAGAGCTATTCCAGAAGTTGAATGTTCTAGGAACAATTTGGGATCCAGTTTGGGCCTGCTTAAGCTGTCCTGGGCCACTGGATATGGAACCCAACTGACTTCAAGAAGAAAAATTATGCACAGTCCACATTTAGCCAGGAAACTACTTTCCAAAAGTGACATGGAGAATCAGCTAAGAAATGTGAGGGATCTAATCCCTCCCCAAAAGGCCCCAAATCTAGGGGCTACCTACTAAGAAAAACTATCAAAAATTAAAAGTTATTGTCTGGATAGAACAGTAGTGATGACTGTGAAATTTAAAATGATGAACAAAGAGACCTAGGGGCAGAAAAGACCATTTGTAAACATGTGAAAAAGTATCCAATAAACCTTGACACTAGCCAAAGAGATTCCCAGCAAAAATGCCAGAAGTATCCCTAAGCCAGTGCATCACCTACACTGTGCTAACTTACCCTTCTCATATCTCTATGCTAGTCTCTATGATTTCACATTCATGGTTAACATGAGCAGGGCAGACAATCGCTATCAATCTATGTCAATCCTTTTCCTTCAATGTTTATTTGTATCTATTTTGAGATAAGTGTTGCATGCAAAGTATGCATTAATACAGGATTTGGGTGTTTTTTGTTTTTATAATTGTAGGTACTAATTTCCATATTCTCACAAATAGAAAAGACGAATATTGCAGACCTAGTGACATCTCTGATTATCCTAGTGGTTGTATTTGTGGTTAAAGAAATAAATCAGCGCTTCAAAGACAAGCTTCCAGTGCCTATCCCAATTGAACTCATCATGGTAATTGATCATCTTAAGACTTTCTTTCATAGTTAGTGTTTTTACATTGTAAACCCTTCACCATCTGTAGAGCAGAAGGTTTTAGTGGGGCAAAGGCCATCTCTGCGGTTTCTTGGCATAGTGTTTAGTAAGGATTTTTTTCCTTCAGAAGTTAATGACTTTCTCTTACGATTTTGCATTTATTCTTTCTATGTAAGACAAGGAGGGTGCAGAGAGCAAGACCTTTAACAAGATGTGGTGATCGATCTATTTGAATTAGAGCGGTGGTTCTCAACCCTAGCAGCATGTAAGCATTGCCCCCAGAACTTCTTTAAAAAATATCAAACCTGGCCTGAAGATTCTTAGTTAACAGGTCTAGGAGTGGGTTTGGGGTTTTTTTGTTTTGTTTTCTTTTTTGTCTTTGTTTTTGTTTTCCAAAGCAAGGCTCTTAGTTGCCTCTCACATTTTAGACTTGAGCCATTTGTACTTTTGCAGACTGTGATTGCAACAGGTGTATCCTATGGCTGTGACTTTGAACACAAGTTTAACGTGTCTGTGGTTGGGAACATGCAATCAGGGTAAGTGTGTCTTCTACGACGGCATGGCCAAGCACCAGCGGAGGGTAAGCAGTAATTACAGGAGACCTGCAACCAGACCCGTATTAACCCTCATCAGAACCTTCCTGCACCCTACGTCCCTGAGGAAGCCTCACTGCTCTCCTTCTATGAAGGAGCTATAAGGAATGTCAGGGTCCACGTTTCTATATCTCAAAGTTTGCTTGTAGAAGAACTCACAAACCAGAGAAGCAGGGACTCAGACCAGCAGGAGCTCACATGAAAGTCAAAGTTAGCAAAGTAGTGAAAGTAGAAAAATGAACAACACAAACCGTTCTTCTCATAAAGATTAAATACCAAGTGAAACCAGATTTCCTTATCCGTAAATTACTGTAAACATTATGTAGTGCTTTGTTTGAGGTTACCAGAGCCAAGTTCCGAAAGTTCAAAAGAGACGCTGAAGGCATCCAGCACGCCACTTGAGCAATCTAGATAGGCACACTCTGTCCTTTCTCGTGATCAAATTCAAAACAAGGCCACAGCAACTTTTACCACTGCAAAAGGTGGGAAGTCCAGTTTGTACAAGGAATTTGAAAATGCATTCCAGCCGGGTGTAGTGGCTCATGCCTGTAATCCCAGTACTTTGGGAGGCCAAGACAAGAGAATTGTCTGAGCCTAGGAGTTTGACACCAGCCTGGGTAACTTGGCAAGACCATGTCTCTATAATAAATCAAAAAATTAGCCTGGCGTGGTGGCATGCCGGTAGTCACAACTACTTGGAAGGCTGAGGTGAAAGGATCACCTGAGCCCAGCAGGTTGAGGCTGTGTGGCCATGAGTGTGTCACTGCACTCCAGCCTGGGAGACTGAGTAAGACTACAACTCAAAAAAGAGAAGAAAGAAAGGAGGGAGGGAGGGAACCAGGGAGGGAGGGAGAGAGGGAGGAAAGGAAGAGAGAGAAAGAGAGAGAGAGAGAGAAGGGAAAGAAAATGCATTCCATTCCATTCCATTCAGTGACTCCAGAAGGAGGAGCCTGTTTTGTGCTCTTTCTTCTAACCACAGCATTAGTTTCTTCCAACTTATCCAGGAAACGTTATTTTCCTGTTAAAAACAAAACAAAAACAACTTCTCTCTCTCCCCATGCTTAACAAGTATTTGAAAATTCCAGAAATCAGCATTTATATGTTGTTGACTTAAAAACAGCCAAATTCTTTTAAAGGCAAATGTATGGTTTTTTTTTAATTTTTAAAGCAAAAAAATCTTATCACCAGAACTTTATGTGTTATATAATGAATCTCGAACATCACTTTTAATTTTAGAAGCTTTGAAGTGGAAATTAAGCTGATAGCTAAAGACTATTTCTAGAGTTTCCCTCCACCTTGCAACTTTCAAGTGACTACCTTTTATTCAAATGTCTTGGGAAACATCAAACAAATAAAGAAGTAAATAAATAAGTGCAAAATCAAAGAGAATCTTGTCTGAAGAGTTTTGAAAATAAAAGATAAACTTAAGATCACTGGGTTATATCTTAGAGACCTAAATCTTAATCTTATTTAGTAAATATGTTTAAATGTCAGTGGACCTCTTGCCACAGGTGTAGGGAGTGGGGCAAGGGCAGTGGACATTTATAATCCATTACATTTGACAGAGAGAGTCCGTATAGCCTAGGTAAGCTCACATGTTTAGAGGCAGAGTGCTTGAGATTTGAATGACTCACTTCTTGACTATGGCAAATTACTAAACTCTGTGCCTCAGTGTCCTTGGCTATAAAAATGGGGCTAGAAATAATAGCTACCACATAGGATTCTTGTAAGGCTTAAGTGAATACATGTGACATGCTTCCATGTCTGGTCGGCAATAAGTGTTCAAACTACAGAACTATTATTATTAATTTAACACCTAAATTAGGTACCAGGCACTTGGTGTGACTTTTTATACTTCAGTTCTTTTCTGGGTGATGATTCATTGCAAATAGAATATAACCGAAAGGGAAGCCGGACACAGTGGCTCACACCTGTAATCTCAGCTCTTTGGAAGGCCAAGGTGAGAGGACTGACTGAGCCCAGGGATTCAAGACCAGCCTGGGCAACTTGGTGAGACCTCATCTCTACAATAAATCAAAAACTTAGCCAGGTGTGGTGACGCGTGCCTGTAGTTCCAGCTACTTGGAAGGCTGAGGCGGAAGGATCGCCTGAGCCCAGCAGGTCAAGGCTGCAGTGGTCGTGTGTCATTATACTCCAACCTGGGCAACAGAGTGAGACTCCAACTCAAAAAAAAAAAAAAAAAGAATATAACTGGATAACTGGAAGTCATTATTAATTATTGCTCATCTGCTTTTAATGAGCATACTGCCTTAGAAGTTATTTTGTGAAGTCTCACACACTCACTGCAAATAACTTGGCTGAAAAAGATATGCTCATTGAAGTAGTGTAGGAAACACAAGGAATATATTAAGATTCCAAAGATATCCTATAAAAATAACTTTGTATTTTACAGTGTATTTTACAGCACTTTGTATTTTACAGTGTATAAACAGTATTCACATTTATTATTTTATCTGACCCTTCCACAAAACTATGAAGAAGAGCAAACAAGTGCTATTGTTCTCAATTTACATATGAGAAAACCATGACTCAGGGATGGTGAGTGACAGAGCCAGGAAATGAGCCCAAGTCTTTTGACTGTAAATCTCCATCACACTACTCTATGTGTTCAGCAGCCAGCACAAAAGAGTAATAGGGTCCTGGTTTTTAAAAAACAAAGCAATATTGCAATAACTCCTGGATTTATAATGGCAGTAGAGTGTGGTGTAATCGTACTTCAGAATTCGAGCTAAAAGTTAATTACCATAGATATTTACAAAGCATACACCAGCAATTCAGAAAGAGTTGACTAGATCCAATTAAACTACTTCTGATAAATTTTAGGTCAGAAACAGATGTTTATAGATGCTGAACACCTTAGTAAATTGGTGTTGTGTCTGAGCTATTCACCTTTTATAATACAATTGGCAGGTATAATTTAACAACTCTAAGTTCATGAAACATAAGCACAGAAATATATCCTGTGAGTTGAAAGTTTCTTTGACACTCTATCACTTTCAACTGAAACTGCAGACCATCGGAGACGCGATTGGCTCTAGCAGTTCTGTGACGGGCAAGGCATAATCCAAGGTCAATCTGTTGGCCAGGGATTTTCCATGAAAGGTTATTGTTATCAATGGGGAAAAGACTTTTTTGCTTTCCCTTTCTCAGAGTTGTTTGCTCAAAGAGCCTTCATCCATGGATAATTATTGAAGGAATTGTGGGTGGTGCTTTGCAACCTAGTGTAACAATATATGTAGAATCAAAGACATTTTGCTTGAAGCTTGTAGGAATATACATGCACATTATAATATGGTTAAACTAGCAAAATCATATCTGATTTACCACTATTCTTGGATTGAATTTGCAATATTTTATCAAATTCAGGCAGCATTACTTTTCAATAACAAGACAGCAGATTTCAAAGTTTTCATGGGAGCTACATTCTTGTAAATCATACTCCAAATGAGACATGACTCAGCCTAAATCGCATTTATTCAGTGATTTGCCCAATGACTATGAGTTTACAAGCAGGTTGGTGACATTCAGACTTGCTTAATTTCAATTTTAGATTTAAGCCCCCTATTACACCTGACGTGCAGATTTTCCAAGACACCATAGGAGATAGCTTCGGCATTGCCATCGTGGGCTTTGCAGTGGCCTTTTCGGTTGCCAGTGTCTATTCCCTCAAACACGATTATCCGATTGATGGCAATCAGGTGAGTAGACAACCTACTGGGTCTAATTGGGCAACTTCAATATTTTGTGCACATAATACCAAAAATGTTCCTCTGTTTTCCTGTCAGGAGTTAATAGCCTTGGGATTGAGTAACATATTCTGTGGAGCATTCAGAGGATTTTCCGGAAGTACTGCCCTCTCCAGATCAGGGGTCCAGGAGAGCACAGGTGGTAAAACGCAGGTACTACAAATCTTTGCTGCAAGCACCGTCTTAGGATTAGTAACTGTGAAATCCAAGCTAAGGAAAAGTCAAGCTTGTGATGAGATTTGTTTTGTTTTGTTGAGTTAGAGTCTCACTTTGTCACCCAGGCTGAGGTGCAGTGGCATGATCATGGTTCACTACAGCCTCAGCCTGCTGGGCTCAGGCAATCCTTCCACCTCAGCCTTTCAAGTAGCTGGAACTATAGGTGAACGCCACCACATCCGGCTCATTGTTGTATTTAGTGTAGAGATGAGGTCTCGCCATGTTGCCCAGGCAGGTCTTGTACTCCTGGGCTCAGGCAATCCTCTCACCTTGGCCTCCCAAAGTGCTGATAGGCGTGAGCCACCACGCTTGGCCTATGAATTTTTTCATCTTCTTAGATTGCTGGACTCATCTCTGCCATCATCGTGCTGATTGTCATTTTAGCCATTGGATTTCTTCTGGAGCCACTACAAAAGGTAACTCTCCTTTCTCTCTCTTTGGATAATATCACTCCCTTGGGCGATACACCAAGGCCCCTGGCTCTCAAGCTCTAAAAGCACAGACTAAACTAGGGGAAATAAGGTAATTACAAACTCTCCAGTACTCTTCTTAGCCAATGCTCTGTGAGCCAAAAATATGTCTTTTCCCCTGGTGGCGTGTTATGAATGTTAAGAATGCAGATGCCCACCCTGCCTTACCTCCTCCATGTTTGCATGTGCGTAGCCCCGAATAGAATTAATGATGAAACAGGAGGGTACCCTGGCACTGCAGCTTCAGCAGGGAGGGTCTGGAGTGAAGATTTTCTTAAAGGTTAAAGTCATTAAGCCCTCTATCTGATTCAGAGAATGGTGCTACCAGCCACACAGTCAGTTCTTAAGAACACACCCTCAGCTCCTAGGGCGTTGTTTGACTCCAAGGCCAGCACTGTCAGGATGAGAGTGAACAGCCAGACATGGACCTCTCAGCCCTACCCTCATGCTCCTCTGTCTGTAATTGTGAGAGTTTATTTTAATGATTTGTAAGTTACTGAAGCACCCAATTCAAAAAAAAAAAAAACAGCATCAGACCCTGGAAAGCATAGAATCTTTCCAGGTAAATACACTATTCATTATGGTTTTAATGTGATTTCAAGGTGATACTTGGAGCCCTGTTGACCTACGTCCAATCCTGCTCTGTTACTTATTTTCTATGTGCTTTTGGGCAAATCACTTAACTTCTCTGAGCCTGAAGTGTCCATTTATAAAACAGGGAAGGAAATGGTACTCATCACACACAGTAACTATTGTAATTAGATGAGATAATGCATGTGAAATACTCAATCCAGGCCCTGGCATATGATAAGTACTTGCTAAATGATAGTGATTATTGTTGATATTGCTGTTATTATCCTACAAACATCCTATTACACTTCTGACTACAGAAGGCATAGAGATAGGATACAACTCACCAGTGTCTATTGGTTGTTATCTAGGCCTTTTTTTCTTGTTGGTTGGTAGCCAGATTGTAATTGGGACCCAGGTTTCTGAACTCCCGGTGTGGTCATCCCAAAGAGCCTTCCTGGACAAATCTCTCTCTCAGCAATGCAGAGTACTGCTTGCCAAAAATATGTGTTCTCCATACACTAAACTAATGATTTCAAAATGGATGGCATGAAAGGAGTCAGGAAGACACCACTAAAGAAATGGAAGAATGTGTAACAAAAATAAACGCATACACACTCATCCCTACATAGAGAAGAATTTGGCCCTGTTGTGCTTTTCCCCAGGTGTAAACTTAGGCCCTACCTAGACCACATCAATTTGGAGACACAAAAGAAATAATTACCATTTAAAATCCTGTCTCTGGGCCGGGCTTGGTGGCTCAGCCTGTAATCCCGTGCTTTGGGAAGCCGAGGTGAGTGAATTGCCTGAGCCTGGGGGTTCGAGACCCGCCTGGGCAACTTGGCGAGACTTCATCTCTGCAATAAATAAATTTTTTTTAAAAATTAGCCAGGCGTGATAGCGCGCGCCTGTAGTTCTAGCTACTTGGAAGGCTGAGGTGGAAGGATCGCTGGAGCCCAGCAGGTCGAGGCTGTGATGGCCGGGAGCGGCTACTGCACTCCAGTCTGAGTGACAGAGTGAGACTCCCACTCAAAAAAAAAAAGAAAAAAGAATCCTGTCTCTGGGCACACTCAAGGACATTGTCCAAGATGTTAATCAAAGCCCCTTCTATAAAGGATAATCGGGTATGTTCTTTTTAGACCATTGTGTCAGGAATGTCAGTTTCACCCAAATAGCTACTTTGATTCTTTTTAGCATATGAGGTCAAAATAACCCATAATAAAAGCTAATAATAGATATTTATTGAGTGCTTACTGCCAGCAGAGTTTTAGGCATTTTATATGTATTTGATCTTTTATATCAAATGTAGCATAGATACCATGGTTTGGAAGTGATCAGTATACAAAAATCCAAAGAAAAAAGAGAACACACTGAGCTATTCAGCATTTTCCACCATAACGGTCACAATTCCCTCAAGACAAATGATCCCATATGACAGGTGAAGAATCAGAAGCCTGAAGTATGACTGGTGCAGAGTTGAGTAAACAACCCAGAATCCACCATGGTGAAGGTCAATATTAGGGATTCTTTTTGCTTGTTTGTTTGTTTTTGAGTCAGAGTCTATTGCCTAGACTAGAGTGCAGTGGCACAATCATGGCTCACCACAGCCTTGTCCTCCTGGGCTCAGGCAATCCTTCCACCTTAGCCTCCTGAGTAGCTGGGACTACAGACGCTTGCCACCATGCCTGGCTAAATTTTTTATTTTTTGTAGAGACAAGGTCTTGCTGTGTTGCTCAGGCTGGTCTCGAACTCCTGGGCTCAAGCAATCCTCCCACCTTGGCCTCCCAAAGAGTTGGGATTACAGGCTTGAGCCACCGTGCCCAGCCAACATCAGGGCTTCTTAAAAGGGATCATGTTCTGGATGGTTAGTACTGGCTTGGGAAATACTCATGCATTAGCTCATCCACTAATTAAGCTCCTCCCCATATGCATTTACCATAGTCAGTTCAGGGACAAGACAGATAAAGTTCATACTTTCTCAGAGAGTCTGTCTCAAGCCATCGTTAATCTTCCTGTGATCTTTAGCTTCCTCTTACAAAAGGCATAGACAATCATCATCAAAGGTTTGAATTCTCATTCTAGGACCTCAAGCTCCCTAAGCTATTTTTTTCAACTATAACAAGCAGACAACACATTAGACTGTCTCTGCATGGGAAGAATTTATTCCTGTGTCTGTCAAAGGTCTCAACATTTGCCTTTCTCTGTCTCAAAATGCAAGCTAAATCCCATCAGATCATCTATGGCATAATCACAGAAAGCAGTGTAGCCCTGTCACTGTGGTGGGGACAAAGTTATTCATGGGAACAGGTCAGAGTCCCAGTTCTGGTGTGTCTTGCATGGCATGGAACACCGGAAAAGGGTGTATCCTTTGATATACTTTGAGGCCCTTTAAAGCACTCGCTGATCTACAGCCTTCACCTTTGCTTCTACATGGTTTTTTTGACTAACTTAAAGTACATCTGGTGTTTATGTTTTTCACAGTCCGTCCTGGCAGCTTTAGCACTTGGAAACTTAAAGGGAATGCTGATGCAGTTTGCTGAAATAGGCAGATTGTGGCGAAAGGATAAATATGATTGTGTAAGTAGAGGCAATGGAATTTGAAAGCTAAATGTCAATGGCATTGTAATGCTGATATAAAATGCATATTTATACTGTAAACTAAGTGAAATTTTGTTTCTATATATCTGTTCAAAATAGTCTTTGTTTTATTTGCTATCTTTAAGTTGCATACTCTATTAATCATTCTCTGAGATTTTAAATTCAAAGGAGGGCTATTTACACGTAGGAAGTGCCCCATGAAACATGAGTGCAGAACTTCCTTAGACCTGTTCTAAAAATTCTTGCAGTCATTCTGAATGCCACAGAAAGTCTATGAATTTATGGTATGCATGACTTCTTTTCATCATTACATAATATGTTAGTTTCCAGAGAATGTCAGAATCTGACATTCTCTGGAAACTGGACATTCCTTTTGAAAATACCATCAGGGACTCCCAAAAAAATGTATGCACATTTTAAGAGATGTTATCTATATATTGCTTTTAGTTCACCATAATCAGAAGTGTCTGGATACTAATGGTAACCACTTTGAGCACCTCTTTTAATTACAGAAGTCAAGCGTGATTTGTGTTCATCTTTTGTTATCAGTTTATATTATTACAATTTTAATACAATTTTTTCCTTTCTTAAAATGTGTGTACTTTTTTTTTTTGGCACCTTCTATATTTCTTTTGGAAAGGTTCCCCCTTGCTCTCACATGCCTTGCTATGAGAAGCAGAGTCCAAATTTTATCAGGGTCAAAGTCTGTGGTGTAAAAATACCTGTTAACATATCCTAAAGTATTTAAAGAGCATAAGCTAGTAAACTACACTTGGTTTAACTTTGTTCTTGATAGATAATTGTGGACATTTTAACACTCTTTTGGCATGCTAAAATTAGCATAGTAGAGATAGTAGCCATTAATTAAATCAACAAAGTAAGAGATGAGCATAGGTGCTACCAATTTGTTGATTTTAATAGATAGCAGCTGGTTCTGGAGTTGTGACTGTGATAGACTCAAGCCTATTTCTTTAACTGGCTCAGAGCTAGGAATCTCTTTGGATCCTCTTATATTTGCTTGTGCTTCTGAGGCCCAGAACCTGAACCAGCAGAAATGACTTCTTGGGACAAGTGTCTTCTGTGCACTTTGTTCCCTGGCCCAAGATGACAACTTCCAACTGCCGCTTTTGACCCTAGTTCATGCTTTCTCATAGCTCTGGACCTAAGTCATTGTTGTTGTTGTTGTTTTTAACAGGGGTCTCACTCTGTTGCCCAGGTTAGAGTGCAGTGGCACAATCACAACTCATCACAGCCTCAACCTCCTGGGCTCAAGCAATCCTCTCACCTCAGCCTCCCAAGTACCTGGGACTACAGGCACACACCATGTCCAGTTACTTTTTAATTTTTTTTTTTAGACAAGGTGTCACTATGTTGCCCAGGCTGGTCTCAAACTCCTGGCTCAAGCAGTCCTCCCACCTGCCTTGGCCTCCCAAAGTGCTGGGATTACAGGTGTGAGTCACTGGGCCAGGCCCTAAGACTTTATGTTTTAATCAAATTAAATTGTAATGTCTGTATTGCTTTCTTTTTTGCAGTTAATTTGGATCATGACCTTCTTCTTTGCCATTGTCCTGGGACTCGGCTTAGGTCTGGCAGCTAGTGTGGCGTTTCAGCTGCTCACCATTGTGTTCAGGACCCAATTGTGAGTGCTCAATGTGCTCTGTGTCCTGGCAAGCCTTGACCCGCCCAAATCAGAAGAGAAAAAAATTGTCACTGGCTAAGAGAAAAGTGCTGTGGTTGATAGGCATGCGTATCTATCAGGATTAGTATACCCTTCCTCTGGTTGCTCCCCTCAAGGCCCAGTGTTAGAGCATCAGCCCAGGGAGGAGACCTGCTGCGGCGCTGCTCCTTGCTTGGAAGCTAGTTCAAATAAATCATATAAATCTTGAGTCTGTTTGCCTAGCCGTAAACTGAAAGTAACTGTATTCCAAGCAGGTTTAAAGTCTTGACCTTGGACTTGTTAAACATGGGAATGTGTTATGAAGATTATGAGATTCTTCACATCTGGGGGAGGGTTTCCTCTTCTTGGGCTGTTAAATTGTGCTGTCACCTTAAAAGCATGCAATTGGCTTTGAGAACGTCCCAAAGGCCCCTCGTGCCCTAAAATGCCACAAATGTCACTTGGAATTATTGACTCTTAAGAGTCAACCAGTCCAAGAATCTTTTTGATTTTCAAATCTCTGCCATATAATATCACCACCATGTGGCCACTCAGTTTATTGTGAGTGACATAGTGTGACAGAGAAATAAAGCTCCTTGGGAACTATAGAGTTCTAGAACATAAGTAGTTGTCATAGTTAAAGTTAATCCCTGACTGATGGAAAACATTGATATTGAAATGTGAATGCACTCTTTTATTCATTTCTATTTTTATTCGGTTTTTTGCTGGGGAACCCTCAAGCAGAGAGACAGAGAATAGTCACAGGAAACTCATTTTACTTCTTGTCCTCATCTGCCTTACCTCACCAAATAACTGAGATTCACAATCAAATTAGCTGAGGCGGAAGAGCTTTGTAAACTGTAATGTGGCAGATGGGAGACATTGTTTTAGGAGCTGTGAGAGACACAAAAGAAGAAAAACAAGGTGTTTGCCTTCCAGTTCTCTGATGGCATGATAATTCCCCAACCTCTTTTGAAAACAGACCCTGCTTTGGTATGCAAAAAAAGTATATATCTATATATGATAGCCTAACAAACATGCATGAATGATTTGCTTGATGTTTTTTTTTCCTACAGTCCCAAATGCAGTACACTGGCCAATGTTGGAAGAAGCAACATCTATAAAAATAAAAAAGATTATTTTGATGTAAGTGAGATTTTTTTTTTTTTTTACTTACTAATTGATATTAGTATGAACTGAATGGTCACCATCTAGTATGACTTCCCTGTCTTACAGATGTATGAACCGGAAGGAGTGAAAATTTTCAGATGTCCATCTCCTATCTACTTTGCAAACATTCGTTTCTTTAAGCAGAAACTTATCGATGCTGTAAGGTTTGGGGTTATTGAGCTTTTTTGTTGTCGTAATTTTAGTAAGTATCTGGGCATGAAATGTTTGTTCAAGAAGATCATTATTGAGGCTGGGTTGTGTGAGTGTTTTTGAGTCCCATGTCTCAGAAGAAGTGAGGCTACTTGAGGGAGTCCTTTAATATGTTGGGAAATAAGCCTTTTCAGGCAAGATCCAATATAGAGTCCTTTTATCAAAATCTACTGTTGAGTAAAAAAATTTGCCACAAGATTTTGAGCTGCTGGTTTTTAGTAAATGTTATCCCACAGATTTTCTTTGGGCATCAACTTCAGAAACAACAGGGGAACATTTGCTATTTTACTGCATCCTTGAAAAGATTCAGGACAGCAGTTGTAAATGAATATTTAACACTAAATAACAAACTGGAGAGATACTGACAAGGAAGCATTCTGCAAGGTTAAGAGACAAAAGCTTGCCAGGTGCAGTGGCTCATGCCTGTTATCCCAGCACTTTGGGAAGTTGAGGCAAGAGGATTGCTTGAGGCCAGGAATTGAGACCAGCCTGGACAACATAATGAAACCCTGTCTCAGCAAAAAATAAAACAAAATAACCGGGCATAGTGGTGTGCACCTGTAGTCCCAGATACTTAGGAAGCAGAAGTGAAAGACTTGCTTGAGTTCAAGGCTTCAGAGGGGCTCCAGAAAGCTATGATTGTGCCACTGCACTTCAGACTAGGTGACAGAATGAGACCCTGTCTCTAAAAAAAAGAAAAGAAAAGAAAAAGAAACAAACAAAATTTGAGTACTCACTCTCAAAACATGCCTTTTGGTCTACTCCATACCTTGCCTAGAGCTTCTGCCTTAAGCACTACCTGTTCTTATTACTTTGGTATGCATCAGATATTTTTCTATCCAACTATTTTTAAAAATGGGATAATATTGTATGTATTGCTTTTTATACTGTTTTTTTTCACTTAATCTAGTATCTTTCCATCTAACTACATGTTTTGCCAAGGATTTTTTAGCTACGTAATTTGGTCTTCCAATTCTTATTACTCTTGAGCTAAATATTACAGCAGTAAGAATTCACTTGTAGCCGGGCTCGTTGGCTCAGCCTGTAATCCTGCGCCTTTGGAAGGCTGAGGTGAGTGGATTGCCTGAGCCCGCAGGTTCGAGACCCGCCTGGGCAGCGAGACCTCATCTCTACAATAAATCAAAAAATCAGCCGGGCGTGGTAGCGCATGCCTGTAATTCCGGCTACTCGGAAGGCTGAGGCGGAAGGATCGCCGGAACCCAGCAGGTCAAGGCTGCGATGGCCGGGAGTGGCCACTGCACTCCAGTCTGGGCGACGGAGTGAGACTCCAACTCAAAAAAAAAAGAATTCACTTGTGTTGGCCAGGAATGGTGGCTCATTATTTGTAATCCCAGCACTTTGGGAGGTCAAGGCCATAGGATTACTTGAGCCCAGAAGTTGAGACCAGCCTTGGCAACATAGCAAACCTCATCTCTGCAAAAAAAAAAAAAAATTAGGTAGGTGTGGTGGTGCACACCTGTAGTCCCAGCTACTTGGGAGACTGAGGTGGAAGGATCGTTCTGAGCCCAGGATGTAGAGGCTGTGGTTGAGCTGCAATTGTGCCACCACACTCCAGCAAGGGAGACAGAGTGAGACTCCAACTCACACACACACACAAAAATTCATTTGGGGGAAATTACGTGATTTAAGTATTACAAAATCACATAAATTCTAATAAAATAAAAATTACAGCCAGGCGCAGTGGCTCATGCCTGTAATCCCAGCACTTTGGGAGACCAAGGGGGGAAGATAGCTTGAGGCCAGGAGTTTAAGACCAATCTGGGCAACCTGGTGAGCCTTGGCTCTACAAAAAATTATCTGGGTATGGTGGCCGTGCCTGTAGTATTCAGCTACTTGGGCGATTGAAGTGGGAGGATCTCCTGAGCCCAGGAGTTCAATACCAGTCTGGGCTCTACAGATATTATCTGGGTGTGGTGGCCCATGCCTGTCGTACCCAGCTACTTGGGGGGTGGAGGCAGGAGGATCTCCCAAGCCCTGGAGTTCAAGGCTGCAGTGAGCTATGATCACACCACTGCACTCCAGCCTGAGTAAGAAAGAGAGACCTTGTCTCACAAACAACAACAACAACAACAACAAATCATTCAAATAGGCTTTGTAACTATTCATGAATAATTTATGGTAAATCTTTAGCTGTACAGAAATTTTTGAATGTTGATGAAGGCATATAGACTGAGCAGATCATGGGTGTGATAAAATGTTACTGGTGTTTAAACCATTTTTAAATTTTACCACAAATATCTCTATTATCTGTCCCTATACTTCAGCGCATTCCAGTTAAAGTTATTTGAATTATGCTATTTAAATAGCAGGATGTTCAGTACTCTTGTAACACATGATGGGTTTCTCAGGTTGGCTTTAGTCCGCTTCGAATTCTACGCAAGCGCAACAAAGCTTTGAGGAAAATACGAAAAATGCAGAAGAAAGGCCTGCTACAAGTGACACTGGTAAGTTTCTTGACCACATGTCTGTGTATGATAGCTAAAAACTTAGTAAAGTATAATTCAAGGTATTAGTTCCGTTCTTTTAAATGAAATGTCAGGCCAGGCACAGTGGCTTATGCCTGCAATCCTGGCTACTCGAGGCTGAGGTGGGAGATCTCTCAAACCTAGGAGGTGGAGGCTACATGATCACACTCTAGCTTGGGGGACCCAATGAACCCCGGAATAAAAAAAAATGCCAAATAACAAAGTATTTCATGTGTCAATTAATGTCATATTTTTATATGGGGGTCTAAATTTGTATTCTCCTGGGAGAAGTATCTACAATCCCATTGTTTGACCCAACGATGAATCTGTGCTTCAGAAACTCACTGGTTATCCTTGACATAAACAGCATTTTTACTGGTCAGAGTGATCATGTTTGCTATCCTCTCCTGCAGAAAGGATATATAAGTACTGTTGATGGCATAAAAGATTCTGACGAAGAGCTGGACAACAAAGAGATAGAGGAACTGGATAAGCCAATCAATACCACAGACTTGCCCTTTGAGATCGACTGGAATGCTGATCTTCCTTTCAACACTGAGGTTCCCAAAATCAGCCTTCACAGCCTCATTCTCGATTTTTCAGCAGTGTCCTTTCTTGACGTTTCTTCAATGAGAGGTCTCAAAACGGTAATTTCTTTTCTCTTAATGGAAACATTCAATCAGTGACTTAGGGTCAATAGCCGTATTTGTGAAATGATGCTTTTTAGATAGTACACCGTTAGTAGTAAGTTATAATCTTAGAATATTCTATGGAGGGGGAAGTGGTGTTCAGTAGACTCTATTCAAGTACATTTCCCATAAGGCTGCATATTATTTTGAAGGTAACCTACAATTTTAATGTATGCTGAACATGCTGGTAGAAATTTACACTCACACTCCTATCAAATTTCAATTCTGCAGTGCTTTCAAATCCTTGTGGGCACTGTATCTAAATCTTCCTGAAATCAGAAAAGATCTGGAAAGGTCCTGGGAGAAAATGGAAGAGTAGATCCTTTATAAGCTGATGAAATTTCACTTGGCTATTTAAAAATATCAGATATATGCAAGAATGTCACACGTGATTTTAAAAACAGGACTAAAATCATCAGATTGCAATTTGTTTTCTTTTAATAGTTCTATTAGCATTTCTAAAATAAAATCGTTTCTAACAGAAATGCAGAAACATATGTAAAGAAATATATATATAATTTCTTAAATATATATATCTGTCTTTTTCTTGGGTTTTCACAAAAGTATGCCTACATAAGAGCTGACCTAAGATAAGAGGATTAAGTATGGGTGAGCTGGATACAAACTCAGAAAATGGGATCAATTTCATTTCCTTCACACTTATCTTTTAAAAAATGTTTAACATTATAAATCTCTAAAGTCTGTTTGCTTTTCTTTTCTTTCTTGATGCTTTATTTATTTTAGCTTAGGAGAAAACACACACACACACACACACACACACACACAAGATTTATTTTTTTGATCCTAGCAGTAGAGGCACACAGAACAGGGGCTCTGACTTGGGTTTCTTCAAAGCCCCAATTCTTAGTTCAGTGCCCAGCAGAGTTTCTGAAAGCGTTTGTGGATGATGGCAATGATATTAATGTTCATCTAACCTGATCAACAGCATAAGCTACTTTTTAAGAAATCTTATATAATCTTAATCATATCACTCCAGCTATTTGTTCTTAACCTAGAGATCAGTAAAATGGATAAGGATTCATTGGTGCTAGATATGTTCAGTCACTGTAGACAGGAATAATTAAAAACTTATAAACCATAGGCTTTTTTTCTTTAAATCTTATATAGCTAGAAAGCTCTGGTTGAGATCATCATAGATGGTACTATTTTAACATTAAATCAGAATTATTCTTATGGATTTGAGGCAGAACATTTCCCCATAATATTTCCCTCAAAAATGATAATTTTCAACTTCTTGCCGAGGAAGAAGGATCTTTTATTTGGGTCGATTTCTTTCTGTCATGAAGCCTTGTTTTTAACTTTTTTATCTCTTTATACTATTATCTCTTAAAAATGTTAAGGGATCTAAAAGCAATGCATCACCTGTAAGGTATAATTCTGAAAATTTTCTTTATGTGTTTTTGACAAGTGAACCTGTTCCCTAAGAAAAATGTACTTTCTTTTTAACAGATTTTACAAGAATTTATCAGGATCAATGTAGATGTGTATATTGTTGGATCTGATGGTAAGTTGTTTTATTTTTGTTTTGTGTTCTGACAAGGACTTCAGGCTCACTGTCAGCTCTCAATCTAGACAGCCTCTCCAAAGAATAGGTGTTTTATGTGATCATCAAGAAAGAAATCTAAGTTGCAGCCAAGCGAATATAAATCGCTATGGAAACAGCATCTTTGTATTTTAGTTGTGTTGATATGTAAATTTTACAATTTAAATCCTAATTTAGTAGTGCAGCAAAGGAGTGAATATGTTAACCATTTTTTATTCCAAACTTCCCCCCAAAATTAACCTGTTTTCTGACTCTCTCCCTCCCCTCCTTCGCATTCCTCAGCCCATAACAACTTGGTTTCCCTTCACTTTGCTGAGACCCTGGCCAAGGTTATCTGTGATGTCTAGATTGTCAAGATTAACTGCCTCCGCCTCAGCCTCCTTCTGCTGGAATTTACTTTAGCATCAGCCCTTAAGCATTTGTCTTTGAAACTCTCTCCCTTCCTAGACTTCTGTAGGACCATTTCTCCGATTCACCTCCTAGGTCTCTAAGAGCACCTCAGTTTCTGGCATCAGATCTTCTCCTACCCTTTAACAATTGGTCTCCCCCCCACTTCAAACTTGAACTCTATACAGTAGTTCGTTCTAATTCCATGACCTCTTTCTAGTCAATATCTTACATGCTTATGACTTCAAATATATCTACATGTTCATGAATCCCCAAACTATACCTCCAGCCCAAGCTCTTCTGAGCTGCAGACCCATGGACTCAACTGCCTGGAAGTCCCACAGGCACCTCAGATGCACTTATTTAAAACTAAATCCCCTCCCACCTGAACACTCCACCCCTCCCCCTCCTTTGCAAAACCCCCCTCCTTGTTTTTTCAGCCCTCTCTCCTCATCTCCCATGGAGCCCAATCCTGGCCAACTCCAATGTATGTACACAGCACCCAATAGGTCCCCGGGGGGGTGGGAGCGGCCCCCCCAACCCGCTACAAACTAAGCACATGACATGCCCCCCCATCTCCCCATGCTGACTCCCCCTAAAAAAAATTTGAAACAAACCAAAACTAAATATTTAGCCCTACATCCCCAAACGACTCCTCCTCCTTTCCTGTCTCAATCATTGCATCACTATTCACCCAGTTGCCCAAAGTAGAAACCCCAAAACCATCTTTAAAACCATCTTTAATTTCTCCTTCTGAAAGAAATAAAGAAAACAAAAACAACAAACAAAAATTTCTCTTTCTGTCCTTCCCTTAAATCGGTTTCTTCCTCTTCATTTCCAGAGCCTTAATCTAGACCCTTATTATTTCTCACCTAAACCCTCTGGAAAGACTAACCAGTGTCCTTATCTATTCCTATACAGTAAGTCACCTACATACGAACCTTCAAGTTACAAAGTTTAATTATGCATATGTGCATTTCTTAATGTATTACCTTCACCAAGTGTCAGTATAGCCTGTTAAATACATACAGTACTATATTGCCGATTGTGTTCGTTGGGTACCTAGACTAACTTGTACTTAAAACAAATTGGACTTACAGATGCACTCTCAGAATGGAACTTGTTCATGTGTTGGGGACTTCCTGTAATGCTTTCCCATCCCACTTTCAGACTAGAAAGTTTTCTCAAGAACTTCTCCTACATAACTGAAAGCATCCTTGCTTCCCTAGGCAGAGCCTTGTGTCCTCAGACTATTTGCATCTGCAGAATACACACATACCACATTATTCTGCAGTTCTGTGTTTGTGTCCCCACAAGACTATAATCTCTTCCAGGGCAGGTGTTGGTCTTGGTTTATCTTCTTATTCCCTGTCTCTTGCCTAGTTCCTAGGACATGACAGACATTCAGTGAAGACTTACTAAGCACCTACTCTTTATCAAGCACTGTTCTGAGCGCTGGGGAAACAGCAGTGAATCTGAAAGCCCTTGCCATCATGAAATTTAAAGTCTCATGGGAAAACCACATCATGAACAAATAAAACCATATTTTAGGTAGTGAGAGGTGTTGTGAAGGGGAAAAAGCAGGGTTAAGAAACACAGAGCAATGGGGATAGTGCTATTGTAGACTGGTGATCAGGGATGTACAATAGTGTAACATTTGAGCAAAGACTGGAACAGAGTGAGGGCATCAACCCGACAGTATCTTTGGTGAGAGCATTTTAGGGAAGGGACGACCAGTACGCGGGTCCTCAGAAAGGCATGCAATTCGCATCTCTAGTCTCTCCCTTTCTACTGGCTCCTAGCCCTAAAATCTACAGTCATATGTCAGTTTCAAGACTTCCTTATAATTAAAAATATTCCCTTGATCTGTCTTAATTTACTCAACAATTTTACTCCTTCCCCACCGACACAGATCATTTTGAAAGTGCCCATTCCCGCTATCTCTGCTGCCTGGCATCCTTCTCAGTCTTTAAGGAGGATCGTCAGCTCTCTTCCTATTGCATGCCTTCCACCTTCAACTCAGGTTCTGGTGACCACAATGCTCTCCCCTCTCCTTCTGCCTAGATTACTGGTAGGTCCTGTCTTTGAAAAACTTGCCTGTGTTTTACCTTCTCTTTCTCCACCTTTCTCAGAATTCTAGGTACTTTCATGTGGTATCTGCTCAATCAGATTTTTCCAGATACCCACTAATAATAAGCAGTTACCTATTTTCTCATAATTTCTATAGTACATTATCTACATCTCTCTATTCCATTCAACAACAACAAAATGTGAAGACCTATATGTGCTGGGAATTCTTCTCCTCCTCTTCCTCCTCCTCCTCCTTTATCTTCTTCTTTCTGAGAGGATTTAACTTTATCACCCAGGCTGGAGTGCAGTGGTGAAATATTGGCTGACTGCAGCCTCGACTTCCTGGGCTCAGGCGATCCTTCTGCCTCAGCCTCCAGAGTTGCTTAGACTACAGGCACATGCCACCACACCTGGTGGATTTTTAAATTTTTGGTAGAGATGGGTCCTTGCTATGTTGCCCACACTTGGGAATTATTTTAAAACTAAGAAAACAATAAAGGAAAAACCTTCTTGCCCTCATTATTATATAACACTTTCCTTTCAGTACTATAGTAATATATACATGTTCTATCTTCCTTGAGAGCAATATTCAGGTCTAATTTACCTTTGGTCCTTCTTACTACCCAGTCAGAGCTTTGCACATTGTAGATATGAGGTAATATTTGGTTAAGTGATCTCTGCAAACAAATGGTGGTTAGTGGCTACAAAAATGAGATCATCAGAGACGACTGGGGAAATAGTATAGGTACTAAGGAGGATGTTTTCTGATAAAACCCAGCAACTTTGGGAAAATGGGCTATAGTTAAGTAAATGGTGAATAGTAGGTCTGGCGATCAAGAATCATAGCATATGACTGGTTCATAAATGTAAGCCACATATGATACGCCAATCAAACAGGAGGATTAACTCACTAGGCTCCTGGCTAAGTGAAAGTAAATTAATTTTCTTCTAGGAAATACTTAAGTTGTTTTCATTTGAACTTTCTCCTTCTTCTTTTTTTACCTTAGGGCATCAAATATGTATTTTTATTAGAAAGGTACCCATTAGTTCCAGAAAACAATGTATTAATGATACTCCAGTGTCCTACCTTCACAACCCACAAACACTTAACCAAATGTCAGTGAAATGCACATTTGCAAATGGAAGCTCAAATTACCAGCGTCAAGGGGAAACCTGTGGCCAAACATTTACTCCTTCCTAAGAGTTGCTGTTTCTTTTCTCTCTTCAGATGACTTCATTGAGAAGCTTACTAGGTGTGAATTTTTTGATGATGAAGTCAATGACTCAATATTTTTCTTAACAATTCATGATGCTATTTTGCATATTTTGATGAAGAAAGATAGCAGTACTTCAAAGTTTAACTTCAGTCAGGTACCAGCTCTTTGATGACTTTCACATTTGTATAACCAACCATCTGAACTTCTTGAATTTCCCCTTATTTTTGAATATTTAAAAAAATTGGTCCCTAATAGGCATTTCCATTCTCTTTTTTCTCAGGAAAAAGAAAGCAAATTTGATTTTACCATAAATACAAATGGAAGATTACGTAATCGGGAATGTCGGGTAAGATTCTTCAACAGGTTTACCTTCATTTAGACATCACAGCAAAAGGAAAAAAAATAGTAGCGAGGCCTCTTTCAGTACGCTACAGAAAGTCAGGACTTGTTTGAGCCTCTGTGTCACATCCCTAAAAAAATTAAAGCAATTCCAACAAATCTCACAGGAAATTTTTGGGGAAAAGAAACTCAGACCCGTATAGAAAAGGATGAAGAATAGTGATAGTAGAACTCTATCAGTGCAATATTGAGCATATCATTTTATTTTTCAAAGTACTTACAGCAATGATCTTATTATGGCCTTGTAATAATCCATGAGGCAGGAAAAGAATTGCTATTTTCTCTTACAGATGAATTAGTGGGGAGCTGAGACGCTAATACACACTCCTGGTAGGCACATGGGAAGTCTCTAGCACAGTGCCTACCCCAGCAAAGTCGCTTTCCTTCCTTACTGGAATGAGCTGCCAATTCATTATACAACTGGATAGTTCCATTTCCTTCTAGGTGTTCATTTCTAGAACATTCAATCCTTTAAGACAATGTCTCTAGCTCAGGAAAAGCAGAATCACAACTTCAAATGAGTTTCTGCGGTAGGCCAGGTACATGGCAGGCGCATTACATTCATTATCTCAGTTCTATACAATATACAAAGAAGAGTTCTTCATTTCACAAATGAGGAAATTAGGGTACAGGCTCAGAGAGCTTAACCAATCTACTTGAAGTCACACACCAAGTAAGTGATCCCAATAGGAGTTGAACTATGATCTGTCTGATGACAAAAACCTGTCTTCTGTTCGCTTCAGTACAACCTCTCTATCCTTTGGTCAAAGATTCACAGATTGAGGGGAAGAATCTAATGATTGTCTTCAAGTATGGGAGATGGCTGGTTGCATTTCTCAGTTGAAGAAAGGGCTAAGAACAGCAGAAAAGAAATTGAGGTTCGAAATAAAAAAGGAATCTATAGCATAACACAAACCTGGAACATTATCAAGAGTGGTATCAAGTAGCACAGGACAGATGAAAAAGTCATTCCAGAAGGGTGGATAGACCTGAGGTGAGAGGAGGGCCTAGATGAGTGCCATGATTCTCTCAGGACAAGAGTCTAGAGAAATCCAAATCTGTCACCTTGCCTGAGTATCTTACAAGGAAAGCCTCACACCAGGAACCTTCTCCCCAGTCGTTGGATTCAGAAGCATCACCAAGTATTAGAGGATAAAGCAACGAACAGCATTCAAATCTCATGTCAGATCCAAGTGTTAGAACCCACTGCCTAATAGAATGTAGGCAGCATGATGCTGTACCTTGGGTTCCCCATATTAAAACAAACAAACAAAAAAAACATTTAACACCAGCTCCTTGACCGGTTTAGAGGAAGGTAACTCAATAGATGTGGACAGGCCACCAGTGGTGATTGGGGTAATAGCTTAAATATGCCAGGTTGGCACAAGTAACCCTGTGGAACAAACAGCTATATGTGTTCCAAATAGATATATTGCTACAACATCTTGTACTATTATTTTGATGAAGTTAAATTAGGCCTTTGAATTACAACGTGGTATCACATGGATTTTTGTTAACCAAGTTGCAGTGTTGTTCACTAAAATTCAAGACAAAAAATTGGTTGACGACTATGGCAAATTCTAGCTCCTAAGATATGATTATTGAAAGCAACAGAACTTAACAAATCTTTTGAAACAAGATCTTTCTCTCTTCTTCCAGGTACCAGTTGAAACAAAATTCTAATCAAAATATAATTCAAAGGAATCCTTATCTGACTATGACATAAAGAACTTTATGCCTAGAAAGTTATTGATAAGTTCATACATTGTATGAAGAATATTTTTACTTTAGAATTATGTTTCAAACTTTGGAACGAGATTGTTCTAGCGTGGTATATTTTTCACATATCTACTATGAAATTATGTAAATATTCTTAATTTTATATCTTATGGATTTATCAAAGGAAGAAAATTATTTTGTTTGTATGTATTTTTGTAGCATTAACAGATTTCATCCAAGTCACTACTTTCATGTGTATGTTTTGCAATGCATTGCCTCTACCGTGTTGAATCTCATGATTTATACAGGTCACACTAATTTATCTCCACTTTCGTTGTGAGGTGGATGTGTTTTGTTAAATTTGCTGTGGGTGCCCTTTTAGTGATCTGACTGGAAACCTGCTACATGAGACTTTTCTAACAAAACTCTTGTAGTGAGGCTTCTTTGCTCAGATTATAATGAGCGCTCCAGCTTTTTAAAGCTTTTTATCCAGATTTAAACATAGTCCTTCTAATGTGATATCTGTAACTTAACAGATTTAGTATGGAAACTATATAAGATAATGGTAACTATAAAATGGCAAAGCAAGAAAGGTGAAAAGGAAAAAATAATAATAATGATGATGGGTAGTAGCCAATCCTTCCTGGTTTCACTGGGAAGAAATAAAACAGTAAGAAAAAAGTATGACTCTTTTCTTTTTTTCACTGCTGGTCATTATTTGCAACTCACAGGGCAGGACAACAGCTCTAGAGCTCATTTCACCTCGAGAAGAATTCAGCAAACCTGTTTCTCTTTTTTGCTGGCGTGAATTTGGTGTGAATTTGTATTCATATCATAGTCAGAAATTAAACATCAGCAACAACAGAAAAAGACTCAGCGCCCTCTACTAAATATCAAACTCCTTTGCCAGTTGTTTTAGATCAGGCATGTCCAACCCATGGCTCCCTGTGGCTCAGAACAACTAGTAATGCAGTCCCACAAAATCTTTAAACATCATGTGTTTTTTAGCATTTATTTTCTTCATGATCCCATGCACAGTTCCATTTTTTAAGTTCACAATCACACCTTATTCATGATATCCTTTTCGGCAGCACATATATTCATGAGCAACTGTTTTCAATTATGAAGCACACAAAGAACAAAATTCAAACAAATATTTCTGATGAGCACCTTGAGAACTCACTAAGAATTGTGACCACTTCCATCCAACCAGACATTGATAGATTAGTTTTACAAAAACAGGGCCGAATTTCCCACTAGTTTTATATTGTTCTCATTTTTCTAAATTTTATAATAAAAAATATATATATAAAAAAGAAGTCCTGCTATGTATACACACTAACTATATTATATAATTCATGTGCAGCCCAAGACATTTCCTCTTTATGTGGCCCAAGGAAGCCAAAAGGTTGGAAACCCCTGTTTTAGGGGTTTACCTCTGAACATTTACTGTCAAAGTGTCCTTTTATCCTTTGTTAGTGTCTTTATTGAGAGGGCTTGTTTATTGGACTTAAAACCAAATACAGAAAGGTAAAATAAAGGTTATTTGCATAGCCTTAAAATCTTGAAATCTTAAAAACTAGAGTACTTTTTATAGCTAGTAATGCAGCACTCTTTACAGCAATGTTTCTTAAACTTTTTGAGGCATGGACACCTGATAGAGTCTCATCCACTCTATGGACTTTAATGGGAAAAAAAACACATTACATGCACACACATATGCCTATATATAATACCCTACAAATCTCAGGTTAAAAGCTTTTCTTCCATAGAGGGCTGAAAGCAGAAACTGAAAACAGAAGCCTATTTAATTTATCATTTGGCTTGGGGGCAGGGCAAATGCTTCATATGACATTTTTGCTGATGTCTGCATCTTCCCAAGCAAAGGTGCCCTCTGCATTCTTCTTGCTACCCCCAAAAAACAAACAAACAAAAAACAGGAAACGGGCACACACTCCAATTCCCCTGCCCACATCATAATACATTCACCTTTAACAACTCAGAGGCTTGCTTATCTTCATCCTTGAATGTTTTTTCTCCTAGGCCATTAAGGTAGATATGCTTTGAGTAATGAGAATGTGTGGGGTTGTCTGCCTCCAAGCAACTACTGGAAATAGGCGAGTACAAGAATCTCACCCCTGATTTAGGAAGAAGTCGAGAGACTATGTTGGAAGGAAGATAAAAGTAAACTTAACTATAACTATAAACCAGAGCAAGACTGAAGGGGAGAGGATGCAACTGGGAGACAGAACAATTTGGGAAGAAACAAATACAGCACTAAAATTAAGAAATGGTGAAGCCACTATGTGTTGAGCAGTTGATCTTTAAAGTTACATTATAATAACTATTTGATACATATTCTTGTCTAAACATACTAATGAATACAAAAAAAAATATGAAGAAAGTTTGGAAATGCAAATGAGATGTTTCAAACGCTTGACCCCACACTGCATGAGTAAGAATAGAGGGCTATTGAATTTATTCTTTTAGCACCTCCGTCTGGATTTCAACATGTCAAAGTGATCTACTGATCGTCTTCCCCTAATTCCTAATCTGCCCTACCAGTATGTTTTCCACCTCAGTTAATGACAACTCTATTCTTCAAGCTGCTCAAGTGACAAAATCTGTCAAGAAATCCTGCTGACTCTACCTTCAAAACATATACTCATTTAGCTCTCAAAATAGTTCTCGAAAGGCAGGTATTATAACTACTCCCACTTTTTAGAAAAGCAAAGTGAAGCAAGACTCAAAGAGGATGAGTAACTAAGTTACATAGTTACAGTAGTAAAGCCAGAAATCTAACTTGACAGCCTAACTCCAGAGGCCAGGCTTTTGATTATTAGGAAACATCACCTCCCAAAAGAAATTGAGACCTGTCTAAAAACTGATCTATTAGAAGGCAGGACTAAACTCAGGAATAATAGTATAGGTGCAATCTACAGATTCATTCCAAAACCACTAATTTAGCATTGTACAATTAAATCTATCCAAAGAAGCTATTCGATTTATTAATGTTCAGAATTCAATACATTTCATATTTCTCTCCCTTTAGGGTTGGTTATATGTGTATTTTGGTAATATACTTTTAAATACTACTTTTTTTTTCCTGGCCACACTTTGAAAACGAATTTAAGGCTGGATGTGATAATTCACGCCTGTAATCCCAGCACTCTGGAAGGCCGTGGTGGGCAGATTGCTCATCTCTACAAAAACAATTAAAAAATTAGCTGAGTGAGGTGGTGTACGCCTATCGTTCCAGCAACTCGGGATGCTCCTCGGGACCCGAGCCCAGGAGGTCAAAGCTGTTGTGAGCCCATGATCATTGTGATCATGCCACTGTACTTCAGCCTGGGCGACCGAGCAAGACTCCCGACTCAAAAAAAAAAAAAAAAAGAAAAGAAAATGAAATTGAATATAGGAAAAATTTTTGAAGAAAATTTAGTGTTAACTATCAACAATTCTTCAGAAAGTTAGAATGTATGCTTCTAAAGGGCAAAGACCACATCTATTTTGTTCTTTATCATACACCCACACTTAGCATATAATAGTCATTTAATTTTATAGATATTTCATTTGTGTGTGTGTGTGTATCCTTCCACAAGCCACCCACTTCCCACTTTAAACCTATATAGCATTACCACTATCATCTCGTGTAAATTATTAAAACACCCTTCTGATTGGTCTCTCTGCTTTCATCTTTGCTTCACTACTCTTTCCTTAATACATACCCAGAGCCAGGCACAGTGGTTCCCGCCTGTAATCCCAGAACTTTTGGAGTTCAGGGAGTTCGAGACCAGCCTGGGCAATATGGCAAGATCTCATCTCTACAATAAATTAAAAAATTAGCTGGGCATGGTGGCGCACACCTATAGTTCCAGTTACTCAGAAGGCTGAGGCAGAAGGATCACCTGAGCCCAGGAGGTCGAGGCTGTGGTGGCCATGAGTGTGCCACTGCACTCCAGCCTGGGCGACAGAGTGAGATTCTGACGCAAAAAAATAATAATACACACCCAGAATAATCTTCTTTAAAAGAGCCAGATCATTCCATTTCATTGCTCAGAACACAGTGGCTTCTTCAGTCCATCAGAGTAAGAACAATGTCTTTACCAGCAGGCCTGTGATCTCCTCATTCCGTTATTAGCCTTCTGACCTCCTTTTATTACTAATTCATTCTACTCCAGTCTCTCTGCTATTCATCATATATGCCAGGCGCAATCTCACTTCAAGGCCTTTGCAGACTGTGCCCTCTGCTTGGAAAGCTCTGTCCCACATTATCAACATGGCTTTCACCTACTTCACATCTTTGCTCAAATGTCATTTTTTTTTTTCCTGAGTCAGGGTCTCACTGTCACTCAAGTGCTGCAGCACAATCATGGCTCACTGCAGCCTTGAACTCCTGGGCTCAGGTGATCCTCCCACCTCAGCCTGCCAAGAAGCTGAGACTGTAAGCCTGCAACTCCACACCTGGCTAATATTTTTTAAAATTTTTGTAGGGACAGAGGGTGAGAGATCTCACTATGTGGCTTAGGCTGATCTCTTAACTCATGATCTCAAGCAATTCTCCCACCTTGGCCTCCCAAAGTGCTGAAATCACAGGTAAGAGTCACCACTTCCAGTCAAATGTCATCTTTTCAGTGAGTTCTACCTGTTTACTACCCCAGTTATCTTTACTTTTCCTTTTCTCCACAGGATTTTATCATACTTCCAATATAGTATAATGTTTATGGATCGTCTGTCTCCAAAGACTGGCACATAAATACTTAATCTTTGTATGATGGTACTCAGTATATAATTATTCAATTCAGGTCATGAAATACTACGTAGCATGGATTATGATATTTACCAGAGCATAGAGCCTACAGTTAGATGTTTAACTAAAATGACTTGATAAACACACCCAAGTTTTAACAGTACTTATCTCCAAGGAAGAAACTATTCATTGGGACAGCAGTCAAGGTGATCTTTACCTTTCTTGTAATATTACATTTTCCACCCACAAGAATTCACCCTGCGTAATTTAAAATGAGTACAAATTTTTTTTTTTTTTTTGAGTTGGAGTCTCACTCTATCGCCCAGACTGGAGTGCAGTG